TGTTTGGGCAGCTTCACAATCCAACACTGTTGAAGTCCTCAGCTGCTTCCACACCTGAAAATCCCGAGGTTGTTTCCTCGGGGAAAACACTCCAACGCTCAAGTCAGCAACACACGGAGCTCTAGAGAGAAATGCTCTCAAGGAGTAATTGCAGAGAGAGAAGCATAGAGATTAATTACCTTCTTCGGAGGTGGCTGGGGGATATTTATAGCCCCCAGTGCTGACATGTATCTGCACATGTAAGCCTCTCATTGGCCCACGTGGTGCTGCCCACGTGGGTATGTCTCCTCCTGTTGGGCCTGCGGGTGCGTAGTTGGGCCTACTGCATGTGGCCCTGAGAGGGCGTTGGGCCTAATCCCAACATTACTCCCCCCTCGGTGTTCAGTTGACAAACTGGATTGGGAGTTTTGTTAGCACGGTGTTTGACCCTGAGGATGGGGAGTGATACTTTGTGTTCATGACCGGCCTCATGGACGGCCGATCTGGGCAGCGTGAAACCAGAGTGGTCGCCTGCCGACCTCCTACAGAGCAGGCACGAGTAAGCGGGTGGTCAGGCAAGGCGGGATCGGCCTGATCAGCGATCTGAGCAGATGCGCATGGACGATCTCGTCTGAACGAGCTAGCGTATAGTGAACGAGCTGAAGCAGCTGACCTGTACGGGTTGATATAGGTGACCTTAGTCATCACCGTAATATAAATATGTAGGGGTAGAGCTGATCTGACGTTTGATGTTCGGAACTAAGGTGAATCTTTGATTTGTTACGATCTGATCTTGGCAGAGTGTCGAGCTTGAAGTCTCTAATTTGTTACGATCTGATCAAGTTTGAAACTTCTGGAGAGATCGTGGGTCAGTTACGAGCAGATTTCTCGAACTTTTCAAATTTTGAATTAGGACAGATCTCTGAGGAGATTTGTTACGAGCTGGTCGAAATCTCTGAAGCGATCATGAATCAGTTACGAGCTGGTATCTCTGGAGATTTGTTACGAGCAGATCCTTGTCACTTTTTGAATTTTAAATCTGCGAAATCTCTAAAGAGATATGGTTCAGAGCGAGATTTGTTACGAGCTGGTCGAAATCTCTAGAGCGATCATGAATCAATTACGAGCTGGTCTCTCTGGAGATTTGTTACGAGCAAATCCTTGTCACTTTTTGAATTTTAAATCTGCGAAATCTCTAAAGAGATATGGTTCAGAGCGGTTAGTATTCTCAATCCCCCCCTAATAAATGCTGGCTCAGCATTTGAAGAGACGTGACAGCTAAAGCCGGTGGACGTTACACGCCCTGCAATAAGTGCTTGCCACGCGTAACGTTTTGACTTGTTGGCAGAGAGGTGTGTACAGTAATGTTAGGCACGGTCACTTAGCCTCTCTGTCATTTTTGTTTCCATTTTCCAGTTCCATATTCTCTGTATTCTTCTGCAACAAAGGACCTTCACAGTTTTCAGGCGGTCTGCTCAAGGAATTTCACAACCAATTTTTCAGGTAATAACAAATGGAATTTGTTAGCGAAGTAGGAGAACTCCGGGGTAACCAGGGTATGGAAGGGGAAGAGAACGTGATAGCCGTAGAACCCATTACCATGATTGTACCACCGGAACTGCAAGACGTGCCGGAAACCCCTACGCCGGAGAGCAGTGCCAGTTCAGGCGCGCGCGAGGGTTCCGGTGCTAACCCCTCTCTGTCATCTGAAGGGTCGTCATTAGAAAACATTGCCAGTGCAAGTAGCCCCTCGCCGGAAAGTATGGAAGTGGCCGTAAATGTGCCTCCAGTTGCAGGTTGGGAAAATAAAACCATAGGCGGTAGGTTGAGCAACGTTCGCAAAGCGCCAAATACGCTGACGGCCGGATTTCGTTTTAGGGTGAACCTGCATCATGAGGTAGCAGATTGCCCTACCTCCATTAAAGGGTATAAGAGACTGGAGGAAATGGTGAGACAGTACCACGTTCCTAGGACAGTTTTGTTACGAACGGGGACTACAAATGAAAGAGCCTGCAGTGTGTCAGCAACAGGGTGGATCCATTATCCGGGCTGATTTTTGACATTCTGTCAGAGTACGAGTTGGCGCTCACACAGTTAACTCCCAACAGCATAAAATTTATCGTAGGGTTTATGCTGCTGTGTGCAAGGTTAGAGATACCTGCGAAGGCCATTGTTTTCAGGTCGCTATTTTTGTGTTGGCTGAGTACCACACAGACACGGTGGTACTACATTTTTGGGCGAGAGAAAATGGCGATCTTTAAGAACATACGGAATAAGGTGTCTCGTTGGAAGAGACAATTTATTTTCGTTCGGGATACGCGAGCAGAGAAGGTTAGCACCGATTTGGCAGCTCGTCTCTCTAAGTGGCGCCCAGGGCATGCGTACATGAACTACCCCACACTAACCCGGGCGACCTGGAGCTTAGGGATAGGATCACTAATTATGTGAAAGGAGGGGGGTTAGTTGATTTGGAAGCCCTGGTTACCCCTGAGCTGCTCGCTATGCGCGGGTTTGTGGATATCACAAACCTATTTAGTGAAGGTACAACTCTATTGTCAACTACTTTTTTCACGAGCTGAGTCTTATTGCACGTGTTTGTGCAGGAGAGATGAGCAGCATGCTTGAGAGACAACGGGAACGAGCTCAGCGCTCTCGAGGCAGGGGAACTGGCTCTAGCGCGAGGAGGCAAACGCGCTTTGACGAGCTGCCGCCTGCAGCACCTCGCAGCTCGTCACAAAGGGAGCAGGGTTCCAGCTCGACCTCGCAGCCACAGGCCGAGCGTAGGGTAGAACCTGCTCCTGCTGATGTCCGGAGGCGTGCTCGCGAAGAGTCCGATGCTGAAGATGACGTACCACTAACTCGGCGCAGGTTGGATGCTGGGAGACAACCTGGAGTGGTGCACTCACCTGAGGCGCTTGCGGTCCAGGCGCGTAGCACGACTGAGGCGCTTCCACCACCAGTAGCTAGTGGGGGGCCCAGAATCGCATACCCTGAGGGTTTTAGCTACACCAAACCCGACTGTCAGCTCACGATGGTCCAGGGTATGCAGAATTTCGTCCCGCCTGTGGACCGTCATCGTGTCGAAGGCTACATTCAGCAACACGGGACTCACGCTGCGATGCTGAAGATGATGGATGTGAGTATTGTGCTTGATGAACATTTTTTTTTTTTGGCGTAATTTCGGAGCAAAACCTGACTATAGACATGTTGCAGGCGCTAAGCTATTCTGTATCTCTATTCGAGAGCGAGCAGGCAGCTTGAATACAGAATAGAGAGCTGGCTGACAATTGCAAGCGGCTGTCCTCAGACAAGGCGAGCTTGGAGGACGAGGTGAACCATTTGCAAAGCTCAGAGATGGCCAACAGGGCTGCATCAGCCGAAAGCCGGGCTGACGAGCTGGCCAACAGGGTCATCCAGCTGCAAGAGGAGCTAGACAAGGTGAAAGCTGAGAAGGAGAGTGGGATTCAAGCGGCCATGGATGAGGTCGTTCGTGCAGTGGATCTCAGGAAGAAAGTGGAAGCTGAGAGAGATGGCGCGCTAAACGACCTCAACGCCCTAAGAGAGCGGGTTGCTGTGGCCGACCAGGATCTTGCTCGCGCAGAGGAATCCCTGAGGCAGGCCAAAGCTCAACACCAGCGCTACATTAGCATTGTGCGAGCTCAAGGCGCGGAATGGCTGGTTGGTGCTGATATGTTCCAGGACGCCGTAGCTATGGCATCCATGAACACCACGACTGAGATCTACAATGACGTTCGTGGTAAGGTGTTGAAGCACCGGCCGGACTTCCCGATCAACGAGCTCGCGTTTTTTGACGGTGAAGAGTTCGATGCAGAGGGGAAGAGCCTTACTGAACCTTCTGACACGACGATGAGGCTCCGCTGGGAGCTAAACGAAGAGGGATTGCCAACATGGCCACCGTTTGTCCTCGAAGAAGGAGAGGAGTTTGAGAACCTGCCGAGGTTCGACACCTGGGCTGGTGATGCTCTTGTAGAAGAAGCTAAACCCTCAAGTACTCCTCCTACGCCTCAGCCCGTCCCTGCTGCCATCTCCATCCCAGCTTGTGCTGACGCGTCCGCTCCCGTGGACTTAACGGACGATTAGACTTAGGCTTGTTGGTAACACATTTTGTAATTTCATGGATACCTCTTGTAATGAATTTGCGAAGAATATAATTGAAATGTATTTTGGAAAACTGTGTGTACTATTTCCAATAACTGCTCATACATTATTCAAATTTTCCACAATAACACAAATCAACTGTAAAATTTTCCACAATAACACAAATCAACTGTAAAATTTTCTAAGGTTCTGAACGTTCCATGTGAACGGTAACTGGCGCCCGTTCATATCTGCTAATATATAAGATCCAGGTTGGCTAACTTGAGCAACCATGTATGGACCTTCCCAATTAGGGGCGAGCTTGCCCATGTGGGAATATGTGTTAGTTAATCCAGCCTTACGTAATACCAGATCGCCAACCTGAAACTGACGAGCTCGGACCCTTTTATTGTAGAATCTTGCTACACTACCTTGGTGTGCCATGTTTCTAATTCGAGCCATTTCCCTGACTTCCTCCACTAGGTCTAGGTTCTCTCTTAAGAGTTGCCCATTAATTTGATCGTCATGACGATCTGATCTAGCAGATGGCAGCCCGACCTCGACAGGGATGACGGCCTCTACTCCATATACCAGGCTAAACGGGGTTTCGCCCGTGGCCGAGCTGGGTGTCGTGCGACATGACCAAAGTACTTTATTGAGCTCGTCAACCCAGTTAAAACGTGTGGATATAACACGTGTCTTGAGGCCTCACAAAACGATTTTATTGGCAGACTCGACCTGTCCGTTTGACCGCGGGGTGTACACAGATGTCAAGGAGAGCTCAATGCCATAGTCGTTGCAGAACAATCTCAATGCTACTGCTCGGAACTGTGGCCCATTATCGGTGATAATCCGCTTAGGTATGCCGAACCTGCACACAGATACGGAGCTGAGCTAAGAACTACGTTTGCATATATTTTATTTATGACTTAAGCCACCAAAGAATACCTCCACAATATTGAATTGAACAAGAATTTTTCTATTTTCCTTTCCGTTGTTGTGGTCAATGGTTTAGCTTCTATCTATTTAGTGAAGTAATCCACTGCAACGACCAGGAAAGTCTAGCCTCCTTTACCTTTGATGAAAGGGCCGAGCAGGTCGACACCCCACTAAGCAAAGGGCCAGGGAGACGTAAGAGATGATAGCATTTCCCCTATTTCAAGGAAGATACTTATGCTAAGTTTATAGACAAACAGGAAGTTTGTATGGTCTTTAGAACAAGCTCAGATACCTGGCATGTGTATATCATCAGCATTGAACTGGCAGGTCGGACATTTTTTGACATAGTCCTGCGCGTCCTCAACCATAGTGGGCCAGTAATAACCATGCCTCAGGAGTTTCTGAGCTAAAGTTTTGCCACCGATGTGCGTGCCGCATACTCCTTCATGAACTTCCCTCACAGCGTATTTAGCTTCATAAGGAGTAAGGCAGCGTAATAGGGGCATTGAGGCTGCTCGTTTGTAGAGCTGGTTATTTATCAAAGTGAAATGTGTCGCCCTGTGTTTAATCACTTTTGCAGCGGACATGTCTTCAGGTAGCTCGCCACTTTGTAGATAATTTGTGAGCGGGGTGGTCCAACTCGATGTAGAGGGATCTGTGCTTAACAGTTGACACTCGACTGCGAAATCAGTGTAGCTTGGTGCATCGAGTACCTTGACAATTGTTGATCTCTGAGGATTAACGTCCTGCGAGGAGGCCAACTTTGACAGCTCGTCAGCTCGGTGGTTATCTGCTCTCGGTATTTTATCAATTTGGAAAAGGGCAAATAATGACTTCAATCTGTTGACCACAGAGGCATAACGACTGAGTTGTGGATCCCTGATGTCATAACTGCCATTCACCTGGCCCACAACGAGTTGAGAGTCGCTAAAGACTTGGATGCTTTACACTTTCAGCTCGGACGCCAGCTTCAGTCCGTAAATAAGGGCTTCATATTCTGCAGCGTTATTGGTCGTCTGAAATTTAAACCTCAATGCGTGCTCGGACTTAAAGCCATTTGGGCCCAATAACACAGCCCCAGCGCCCGACCCTTCAATGTTAGTTGCTCCATCAACATACAAAACCCAGACTGGGTGTTCGGGTACTTTTTCTTCCTTAATTGCTGAGATGCACTCCACCAGAAAGTCCGCAACGGCCTGGCCTTTTATGGTTGTGCACGGCCGAAATTTCAGGTCATATTCACTCAGCTCAACACTCCATCCAATAAGACGACCAGAGAGTTCAGGTTTCTGCAGTATTTTTCTCAATGGTAAATCGGTATAAACAACAATCTGGTGCGATTGGAAGTAAGCCCTCAATTTACGAGCTGTGTAAACCAGGGCAAAAGTAGTCTTTTCTGCTAGTGGGTAATTCTACTCGGCACCCTGCAAAACCTTGCTCACATAACAGATGGGCTTCTGGTTTTTATTCTCTTCTCTGAGCAGAACTGAGCTCACTGCCTCTTCTGTAACCCCCAGGTACATGCATAAACTCTCCCCTTCCGCGGGTTTGGATAGCAGGGGTGCTGATGCCAGGTACTGTTTGAGCTCGTCAAACGCCTGTTGACATTCATCAGTCCACTGGAAGTTTTTAGGCTCTCGCAAAGCTTTAAAGAACGGGAGGCACCTTTCAGCCGACCTGGCTATAAACCTGTGCAGTGCAGCTATATGACCTGTCAGACGCTGTACATCTTTTACAGTCTTGGGAGGCTCTATCTGTTGAACGGCCTGAACCTTGTCTGGATTCACTTCAATTCCTTTCTTGGATACCACGTATCCTAGGAATTTCCCTGATTCCACAGCAAACGTGCATTTCATAGGGTTCAGCTTCATTTGTGCTCGGCGTAAATTTTGAAAGGTCTCTTTCAGGTCGCCTATGTGGTTTTCAACTCGCACGCTGGTAACTATCATGTCATCCACATACACTTTTATGTTTCTGCCGATTTGAAGCTTAAAGATAATTTGTACCAGCTTCTGATATGTAGCGCCAGCGTTTTTCAGGCCGAATGGCATCATCACATAGCAATAAATAGCGTCACCTGCGTAGAAGGCTGTTTTCTCCTGGTAGTCCAACAGCAACTGAACCTGATGATAACCTGAGCTAGCGTCAAGGAAGCTCATCCGTTCGTGTCCGGCTGCTCGCTCTACCAACTTCTCCACATTTGGCAAGGGATGAGGGTCTTTTGGACATGCATCATTGAGGTTGGTGAAGTCAACACACATCCTCCACCTGCCATTTGGCTTTTTGACGAGCACGGGGTTAGATACCCACTCAGAGTACTCCACTCTCCTGATGAAGCCTGCCTGTAGCAGCTTTTGTGTCTCCTCGTCTATTGCAGCTTGTTTTTCTGGGCCAAAAAGGCGATGTTTCTGAACTACTGGCCGTTTGGTGGGGTCCGTGCTGAGTTTGTGGACTGTCAACTCTGCTGGAATGCCGGGCATTTCATCTGTAGCCCACGCAAATACGTCTTGATTAGCCCTTAAGAACTCCAGAAGTTCTGCCCGTTCTGCTTCTGTGAGCTTGGTACCGATCTTAACTGTCCTTTCTGGCACGTTAGTGTCTAAAGGGACTGTTTCTATTGGCTCCACTGGTTCTGCCTTCTGTTCGACGCCCTCAAGTCTATGTTCAATGTCAGCTATGCTCATTGTCAGTTGGCCGGGCTGAGTTGGCCTACTGTTTTCAGAGCCTTTAGGAGCCACAGCGAGCTCAACCTTCTTAAACGTATCCTGATAACATGCCCTGGCCATCCTTTGATTCCCCTTTAGCACCCCAACTCCCTGAGGCGTTGGGAATTTCATGCAGAGATGGGGCTGTGAAATAACAGCCTTCAGCTCGCACAGAGTAGCCCTTCCTAATATGGCGTTGAAGGCTGACTCCATTTTGACGACCAGGAAGCTGACTGAAGCCATCCTGAAGCGCGGTTCTGAGCCCACATAGATGGGTAAAGTTATGACCCTTTCCACCGGGACGGGCTGATTATCGAACCCGTAGATGGGTCCCTCATATTTCTGCAGCGAGCTCGGGTTCAACTGCATCTTTTGGAAGCAGCTCCAGTAAAGGATATCTGGCGAGCTGCCCGTATCAATAAAGACCTTGTTGACGTTATGATTGCCTATATGGACCGTTGCTACAAACGGATCTGCATGAGGCATCACAACGTCGGGTTCTCCGTTTGCTCGCTTATAATCTGCCGGGGTGAATGTGATAGCTGCAGCCTCCCATTCTGCTTCCTCAAATGGCCGTTTCAAAGGCCGATTTTTATTGACGGTCATTACCTGTCGGGCGTATGCCTTGCAGGCGCGGGCACTTTGGCCCCCTGAATGCATACCGCCAGAGATCATATTGATTGTACCAGAAGGCAGGGGTATTGCGATACACCCTACTCCTCTTCTGTCCTTTTGGCTCTGGGTGGCAGGTCTCTGACCCTGGCCTCGCCTATTGAATTGGCGGCCTCTGTATGTTCTGCCCTGCTCGGAAAGGTATTGATTATCTTGATACACGTCCTGCGTGTTGCCGAGCTGGTACCTCTGCCCTTGAGGTCGGTCATACTCCTGCAGGAAGTGGGTTTGAGCTGTTTGCTGGGTGTGAGGCTTCTGGACATACCCCTCTAATTTCCCAATGCGAGCTAAGAACTCTAGCTCGTCCTTTAAGCGTTGGCAGTCTTCTGTATTGTGACCGTACACACGATGGTAGTCACAATGCTTGCTTTTGTCTGCCCTCGGAGAATCATGCAACAGGGGTGGGGGCCTTCTAATCCAGTGTTGGATTTGTGCCAGAATTTGAGACCTTGGCAAGGTTAGAGGGACGTAGTTAGCATATTTTGGGAATTCAGCTGGCTTCCCCCACGGCTCATTGACTTTCTGCTTTTTCTTATCCTCTCTTCTTGGTAGCTATTCCTAGCCTTTGCTTTGTTTGTCATCAGCTCGCCTCTTGGACGACTGAAAGTCCTCTGACAATATAAAGCTAGCTGACCTTTCATTGACTTCGTTCCACGTCTTTGGTGGATTTTCCAGTAAGTCATCTAGGAACCTACCACGTTTCAGACCGTGCAGCAGGGCAGACAAGCAGATGGTATCAGGGACGTTATCGATATCTAAAGTAGCTTTGTTAAATCGCTGCATGTAATCCCTCAAAGATTCCCCCTCTTTCTGGTGAACTTGCATCAGCTCGGTCGCCGTGCGTTTAATCTCCCTTTGGCTTGCAAATCTGTTGGAGAACAGCTTGGCGAGCTGGGAGTAGGAATCTATAGAGTGTCTGGGGAATTTATGGTACCATCTTCTGGCTGTTGATTTCAGGGTTGCCGGGAACACTTTGCACATCATGGCGTCGTTAGCATTTTGAATTCTCATGATGGCCTGATAAGTGTGTAAATGTTCATCCGGGTCACCCGAGCCGTCATACGTCTCTAAGTGGGGGATTTTGAACCCCTCTTGATATGGCTCCGCTGTGATGGATAAGTTTAGCGGGGCACTATCTAAATCCAGAGTCTGTTGACACGACCTGGGACTTTTCAGCTCGTCAATAGACTTTTGCACATCCTGTAGCTGTCTCTCAAGGTCTGCGTTCTTTCTCATCAGTTCTTCACTGTGTTTGGACGAGCTGGGCTCGATATTCAGCTTCCCACTTCCCCTTGGCCTGGTCGGTACTATTATGTTACTCAGAGTGGGGGAGTTTCGAGTCGCAACAACCGCGGCTGGTTGTGCATCCCTGTTCAACAAAGGAATCAAGGGGTCGTCAGGGATTAGGCGGGCGAGGATTTTACCCATCGCCATTTCGAGAACTCTGGTTCTCTCTTCAAGCTCGGTTGTCCGAGCAGGTTCTGTTGACCTTTCAAGTCGTTCATGCTGTGAATTGTGTGGTCTAAAAGGTCTTTGTCTTGTTTCTGTTGGAACTTGGAACTGTTCAAGCTGGGTTGCATGCCCAGTTGGTGTTCGTTCATCATCTGTTTCACTTAGGTGCTCCTGTTCGGCTCCCCCGACGAAGAGGTTTCTTGGCATTGGCCTAAAATCATTCAAGCCGGGCTCGGATACTTGAGTGCCTTCCTGTTTGTCCATTTCATTTCTTGGGGGGCGACCTCCTGTAAAGGTTCGAACCATTTTGTCTTTTAGCAGGTTAAGCTGCACGACTTCTTGTTCAGGTTTCCCACAGACAGCGCCAAATGTTTGGGCAGCTTCACAATCCAACACTGTTGAAGTCCTCAGCTGCTTCCACACCTGAAAATCCCGAGGTTGTTTCCTCGGGGAAAACACTCCAACGCTCAAGTCAGCAACAC